TGCTTTGGAACCTGACAGTCTAGACGGGGCTACAGGTGTATTAATGATCAAAATAAGCAAGAAACCTAGTTAAATAATATTTAGATAATTAAGAGTTAAAACTAAAAATAATAACTAGAAATTGACATAACATTGTAAACTGACTATACCTCAATTAAAAAAATTTTTTTAATAAAAAACACAGTTTTGCATTGTTTCATCAGTGATGCTATTGAAATGTTTTCCATTTCTCTAATTTTAAAAAAGTTCCATTTATAAACCCACAAATAACTTGATGTGCTAAAAATTTTATCTCTAAGAACACGCATTAATAAATAAAATTTGTGATGCATTGCCAATTCCATTGATATAAAAAGTCAGGAGGTAAGTTGATTTTGAATTTTTGACATTGAGTAAAAAAGTACTGTTTCATAAAAGCATTTTATTCTGTTTCATATCCATTATTAAAACATCTAGTTTTTCATCTCTCCTAGATGGGACACATATCCAATATAATATGGTAACATCCAAATTATTTTGATTTACTCTACACCACTTTGGACTCTAAGAACTTTAATTATGATGCAGAAAGCAGATTTCAATTAAGGCTGAAAAGTTATCTCACTGAGAATCACTGGGGATTAAAGTATTCTGATAGATTATATAGTAATGATAATTAATAGAGTTATATATAGATCACTTTCCAAATAATCTACATATAATAGAAATATAATTACAGTTTCATTATTTCATCTTTTGGAAAAAGTGATTCAAAAAGCCTCAGGGTCATTCTTATGATTTCTAATTATTATGAATGTACTAGTTAATGGGAGAGTTGTATTTTTAAAAGAGTTGATAGCAGACTGTACTCTCTGTCCTTGCGATGTTTAGAGTCTCTTTTCACAATAATTAATGACTCTTTAGCACACACAAAAAAGTATTTATTGAGCACTTACTACAGGCAGGTTTCTGTGTTACTCACTCAGTTCTTCTCACACATGGTCTAGAACTACAGCTTGAGTTAGGGGCCAATTAATATTGGGTGTCTGATAAAAGATCTACCAATAATCTTTTAGTCCCAAGTAAGTGTAAATATATGCATTTATACATTAATGACAAGTTTATAACAATGTACTTAAAAAGTATCACTGGAAAATGTATGCTAATTTTATGACACCATCTATAGTTCTTACTGATTGAGAAAGCAAATTTTTGCTCATATTCAATTCGTATTTTGTGATCCTGAAATCTGGTGATATAAAGTTAAATGATATGATTTGACATTAAGTGATATTTGAGCCAAAAAACCAACAACATTTTTGTTTTCTTTTTCTGTTATACCTTGTAAGTACTTTAAAATTTTTCTGAGTTCTAATGAAAAATTGCTAGCACCAATCCCTTACTCACACAAAATTGATTAAATAAAAGGCATCATAATAAACATAATGAGAATTACTTTCAGCACCATTTTAAAAATTGAATGCAACAAACTCTGACGGTCTTTTATGAACTAGGAACTGTTTTTAGCACTGAGCATACAAAAATAAGACATGGAGTCTGTCCTCAGAAGCTTAAAGGCCGTGGGGTAATAAACACTTATATCAATAAATAATTTCTATACAGTTGGCAGAAGTATGAGCAGTAAGGAAAGACCCTTAGCCTAGCTGGAGGCAGGTGAGGGACTGGGTAGGAGGACCACCGGAAGGCGCCAGGGAAAGTCATGAGAAAGAGGTCCTCTGTCATAGTGTCTGAGAAGAGTCTTGAAAGATGAGTAGGCATAAATAGGTAAAAATGGGGTGAAAATTTTTAGCAGAGACACGGAAGTATGAAATACCATATTAGATTATATGACGCACAAATCGGAATTTTCTGAAATAATATTCTACCAAGACCCCATGGCCTTTCTGTGGCTTTTGTTCCTTTGAATTTTACCATTTCAACCTTCACATGTTCATAATGGAGGGCTAGTAAACTCCACCACCTGGAGGCTATGTCTCTATTAATCTCAACCATCCAGTGCATAGAAACGACACGTAGAAATGAGAAACGGCTACCACAAAAGCATGTGGTGAGAAGCAGAAACTGACATCAAGAAGGAGACAAAAATTACACAATAACCTGGGAATATTTTGTGTAGGGACGTTCAGCTCTGCACAGTTCAAAACCCCTATGAGAATATACTATAGGACAACACATTACCTGATGGTCAGAATAGTCACCTGGGTCACCAAGATAAACTTATCTCTTGTGTACCTTGTTTATAAAGTAGGGGCTACGTGATAATTACACTCAGAAAGATCTCTATCTGTTATTGTTTATATTAAAAGTTTTATATTGAGAAATACGCCAATACCTGTGAAATTCGTATTTGTGAACCACTTCATTCCTGAACCATACCAGGCAGAAGGGGTGTTATTACAGCACAAATAACAAAATTTAGTAATAAAAGGATCTCTGGATAGAAAATATTTAGGATCACAAATTGTGAGAAAATTTTAAAATAATAGCTTTGATTTATCCTATGATTCATTTTTATATAACAAACTTTCTGTTTCAATATTTTATTTCATCTGACACTTTTACACATAGAAACTCTCAATAAATGGTAATGACTGAAAAAAATGAATGAATTTTTTAAAGACAATTTTATATGTTAAAGAAATGACTGACTACTGTAGCATATTAATTTGATCCTCCAATTAGGCATAAAATACAAGTACTCCTTGAAGTACTCTACTTTCTTACATTGCCAAGAAATGAAAGATATACACTATAGGT